CATCAGAGCTAGCAGGTCTATTCAGCTCTCACACTAAGCTACATCTGTTAACTTAGCCTTTATCAGCAATAAAGGTGCTATTTTGGCTCCCATCTAATATTTAAAAATTTTCCAATTGTTCAGAAGCTGGGAAGTTTATTGGGCTCCTTCCGAAACTCCAGCAGAACCTATCAGACAGAGGGCCCAGTTAGAGACACAACTCCTCCCTCTAGCCCTTGACTGTCTATGATCTCTTGCCTGCCACTTGTTTCAGATAACTGTGAGGGCCCTACCCACACTAGCTACACAGGAGCACTTACCCTGGTTTTATTGAGCCCTATAGAAAATGATGTTCTAATGAGAACTTGCAATGGAGATGGCCCCTTATATAGTAAGAAATGAAAAAAGCAGGAGTTTCCATCAGGCCACTGGAAATTCTTAGTTTCCAGCAGTAGGAAGTCTTCGTTACAGCTATGATCAACAGCTCATTATCTTTCAGTGAATTTCCACTATCTAATCAAACATGTCACCTCAGTTTACTTTGCTCTACAAGATCACTCAACCTTTTCTTGCTCTGGTTTTATATTTTTCATCTGTAGAATGCAGACAATACTATATCCATCATATAGTTGTGAGGATCGAGTGATACAGTGTTGGTTAAAACACTTAGCTCAGTGTCTGGAAGTCTAGTAGATGCTCAGTGAATCTTCATTAACTCATGAACTTTCCCCCAAAAAAGGGTTTTACACTACTGAATTTAATTACAAAACCAATCAAACTAATTTGGAAAACAATACCATAAAAGACCCTGAGAAAGCATGCAAAAATCACTTAAGAAACATTCATTACTATGGAACCATGAATGCCTACGCTTTCCCTTATTAAATGATATATATGAGAGGAAATTTTTTTTCCTTGTCATGGATGTGGACTGTTTGTAACTATATGACCCTGTATCTTTGGAGTTAAGAATGCCAATAAAGTAGCATAAAAAACCACCTAACTGGCCAAATTACTGAGACCTAACCAAGTTCTGAGACCCAGTATGCTGGGGGCACACTGAAGATCCTTCTTGTGTACCATTAATGGCCACTCTGTGCTACAGACCAACCTGTGCCCAAGGGCTGAAAGCGTGTTCTCTCGGAGCCATGATTTACTGGCTGAGAGCAGGATCCTACCTGTAATTGTGGAACCAGTTGATGACAGTGCTGGTTTTCAAGTTGAGCTGGGTGGCGAGTTCTTCGATGGTTTTTGGTGACGGGTATGGCTTTTGCTGATATGCTCGTTTCAGAGCTTCTTTCTCTTCAGGAGCCAGCACCACACGGGGTTTCTTCAGCTGGTGCTGGGGCTGAGGGCTTGCGCCTTGGCTATAGTCAATGCCAACGGAGGGCGGCTCACAGGGCTGGCTGTCGCTGACTGAGCTGTGCCGCCGCTTCATGTAGGCTGAGGAAGGGAGAGAAGTCAGACTGAGGGGCAGGCCCAGATGTGACATCTGCCCAAGCCCCTGCCCCTCACAGTACATGGTATATAATTGGATTGAGATCACTTTTTAAAAATCCTTACTTGAGGATATGTTTTTTATTGATTTTAGAGAAGAAGGGGGAGAGAGAGAAACATCAACATGAGAAACATGGATCAGTTGCCTCTCCTATGTGTTCCGACTGGGAATCAAACCGGCAACCTACGTATGTGCCCTGACCGGAAATAGAACCCGCAACCCTTTGGTGTATGGGATGACACTCTAACCAACTGAGCCACCTGGCCAGGTTGGATTGCGATGACTTCTGTGTGGATTGTGGCATCAGGCTGATCTGCTCTACTCTCCCAAGAACATCTCAAAACACTTGAACTAGAACCATTCTGAAACCTAACACACATTCATCAAGGACCTGCTCTGTTATAATGGGAGGTTCCCATCGGTCCCTGCATGACTAGTTTAGCGGAGGGCACAGAGGGAAATTACTCAGGTCAGCCTGTGGAGAGGTCAGGGGAGGCTTCCGAGGAGATGATATTTAAATTGAATCTTGAAGGACAAAGAGGGATTAATCAGAAAAAAATAGGTGATGAGGTAGAATATGGTAGGAGGCTGCTCCAGAAAGTGGGAACAGCATGCGCAAAGACACAGAGCTACACAACAGCATGATTAAAGTGTGTTTTTTGTGTGTGTGTGTGTGTGCGCGCGCGCGCGCACGCAAACGGGGCAGTGGTGTAGGAGGAGTTGTCAGACATAAGGCTGGAGAGATGGGCAGAGGATATCTGGGGGCCATCTTGGGTAAGGTGGAATGAACAGAGAAACATGGAAAGATGGAAGGATGGTAGAATGTGGTCAGTGAGTGGGATATCTGAATTTAGACTTTGAGAGATAGAGTAATGGGTGATAACAATATTTGGGGAACAGCCAAGGGTTGAGGAGGTCAAAAAACGTCAGGGCCAGGTGGGTCAGAAAATCTCCCTGGGCGAGGTAGGGTGTGAACATGGAGGAAGACAGTGATACCGGGGCACAGTCTTGAGAAAGCGTAGGAATGAGCAGGAAGCTGGCAGATGATGCTGAGAAGGGGACTTAAGGCCTGCTTGAATGAGCTTTGAGGAGGCAGGAGCCAACCCAGGAGTGGAGAAGTGGCTGGCATAGGCTCAGAGCTTGGGGAGACATGTGGCCAGCCCTGAAAAGGGCAGTAGGAGAGAGGAGAATGGCACAGAAGCTGGAAACGAGGGGAGTGCATATGCAGATGTCTGTTTTTACTGTGGGATAGGGCTTAGGAGGAGCAGTGGGGAGTGGGCTGGCTGCAAGGCTCAGAGACTCAGAGTGTGACTGTCACTGGGGATGTGCTGAATGGACTGTGATTCCTAGCTTTCAGGTTCTCTCGGTTTTATTTCTCTCGGTTTTATTAGTGTTGTCTGTGCTTCATTTGCAACTCTGATGGTTATGCATCACTAACCACTAAGCTTCTTGAGCAAATGAATCCTCCATAGTGATCTTTCTAGTGAACTAGTTTGAAATACAGTCTGAAAAGTCTTTAAAACTTAAAACTGATGGAAGACGAGAAATATTTAATTCAAATGGCACGTAGTATTAGTTGTGGCAGTATCATCATCATCATCATCATCAGCTAACATTTACCATTAATCCTCAGTCCCACAAGGGGAGAGACTGTTATCATCCCTTTGTACAGAGGAAGAAACTGAAGCTTAGAGAGGCTGAATGATTTCCCTGAGGTCACACAGGTAGGAAGTGACAGAACTGATGTCTGTTCTGGGCAGCACTGGCTGCCCTGCCCAATGGTGGTCCCGTCTGGCCACAGCATGGGAGCAGGGTCTGAGGTTGTGTCCATGGGAGCCACAGAAGTAGAGTATGGACTGTCAAGGTGCATCTGTGGTCTCCAGGGAGAGGAGCCTTGCCCATGAGCTGGCAGAGGCTGCATATATGTATGTGTCTAGGTGCTGTGACTGTGTGTTGGGTGAAGGGCCATCCCATGAAGGTAACAAAAAGCAGAAGGCAGACTTGGGTAGAGAAAGGTTTAGAAGGAAGGAAGAAAGGAAGAGCAATAAAAGATTTGAGCTGAAGGGAGAAGAAAGGCTTTATGAAAGAGAAGGAAGCATTGTGTCCATGTGAATCCTAGTGTGGATTACCTGGTGCAGACTTTTTAACCTAGGCTAGCCTGGTAGCACAACTTATTTTCATTGATTTTGAAGGAATACATATATTATTTTAGTAACTATCACTTACTGAGCACTTATGTGTGCTGCTTATTATACTGGGTACATTCTTTTTAATCCTCACACCTGAAAAGGTTAACATTATTACCCTCATTTTACAGAAACTTAGGCTACTTAACTTGCCACTTTATGACTAGAACTAGGAAACAATTAAGAAGGCCAGTCTCTTTTCCTCACTCCTCCCACCCCCATTAATATGATAGAGTTAAGAGGCCAGAAAGAAATGAGCCTGATCTGTCCGCCAGCCCCATCCTGTTGGGCGGGTGACCAGTAGTCTATGGAGATCACAGGAAGTACTGATGGAACAGGTGCCTTGGTCTCCCACTGGGGCTGGTGAAGGTTTATCTAGTGAGCATTTTTACCAGGGAGAGAAGACAGCGGGGCCACATCGCTCAGGGACCTTGGGATGTGAGGAGGGGCCCCACTGAAACAGTAACTCTTTTGTAACACAAGATGGCGCCCAGAGCCCGTGTAGAAAGGAGTAGAAGGCCCCCCCCCACTCCCCCAATCTATTTCCAGGGGCTAAGATCCTCTGCCACTGGCCTGGGAGGAGACATACGTCAGGGAGTGTTAGAACCAGGGCTCGCCTCTCTGCTGAAGTCTGCAAGACTGGCCCGGACCTGGACCTTCAGACCTGCCACTGGATGAGGGAGCTCCTGCACTTAGCAAGCTCAAGGAGGGAGGACACTGCCTTTTGACAGAGTGCAGAAAATTTTAAATTGCTTGGGTGAGCACTGATAATTGCTGAAACTCAGTAATGGATATATTAGATTCATGGCATCATTCTTTCTATTTCTATATTTGAAATTTCCTATAATTTAAAAATTTTTTTAAAAACTTGGGTGGTGATATGGCACCAGGCCTCTGGAGGTTGTAGCACTGTCTAGAGCAGCGGTCACCAACCAGTGTCCGCGGACCACTGGTGGTCCGTGAGGTCAGAAAGGTTGGCAACCGCTGGTTTAGAGCTGCCCGAGAGGATGTGGCCTGTGTCAGAGCCTTGGTCTACACACCTGAGGGTGGGCATGAGCCCACTGGAGGGCCCCCTGTGGGGTGGAGGGCCGCCTGGGCACACAGTCCCAGTGTGGCAGGCACTCAGCTCAAGGCAGAGAGTACACAGCTGAGAGCAGCAGCTTTGAATGAGTTTGGATTCCTGCTCTTTACTTATGTCAGCTCTTGAAATCACGTAAGTTTCATAATGCCAGAGACTCATCTTTCTGGATAACGCCATCTGTATGGGATGGAGCTGTGTGGATGAAGGGAAGTCTCGGTGTGGGTTAAGTGCCTGGCAAATAGGCGCTCAGGAACTGAAGAGTCTATGTGATACAACAGCCAGCCCACGAACTCCTGGGGGAGGCATCAGAGACTGTTCTCCTTTCTGGAGCTCCAGTCCTTCCCTGGGTGGATGAGACAGTGATGCTGGGCTGGTGGTGAACAGCAGCCTCTCCTGGTGAATTCAGAGGATATAAACCTGGGCTCAGATGAGCTGGGGTTGGGGCCAGGGACAGCCACGTTGGTGGTTGTCATGCCCACTCTCTGGATGAGCTTCTCAGCAAAAGCTGATTTAAGGAGGGCGGTCACAGCTTCTTATGGCCAGGCCAGCAGCTGTACCGGATATCCACATCTAAGGGATTTGAATTCAGCCACCGAGTGGGCTCACATACAGTGACCCAGGACTGTCCCCTCTGAAGGGAGGACTCAATAATGAGAAGCAGCGTGTAGGAGTGCAAACCATGAGATGGAATAGGCATTACTTTCCATCACCAAGGAAATCCTTTAGGATTTCTCCCATGGTGTAGCCTCCAGCGTAAAGGAGAATGCTGACCAACATTTGAGAGGGTTCAGCTGAGCTGGAGGAAAGTGCTGCACAGAGCCCTCTAGGAGGCCACAGCCTCCAGGCCCCTAGGCTCCTCAAAGCAGGACTGCTGTCCGGCAGGAATCTGCTCTGCCATTTTCCAGGCTGGGTGACCTTAATCGAGGCACCTAACTTCTCTGAATCTGAGTGTGTTTATCTACAAAAGCATTGATTAATGCTCTCTCCAATACGAATATATGGAAGCCCCTGGCATGTGGTGCATGTGCAATAAATGTAATATCACACTTACCAAACAAGACAAAAGACAACAAACACCAGCCACCACTAAGTGCTGTGGTATTCATTTCTTGGTGGCCTTACTCTCCCGAAGGAAGAAAAAGGATACACTGACCGCCAGGGTGACAATCAGGAATTGTCAAAATGCTCCCTAGTGCTAAAATGCCCTTGAGTTTAGGCTGCTAGGTAGAAAAAGACACAAATCTTCCCATCCTTGGTAGATGACAGTAAAAAAATCATTTGCCCTGCCTTATAGCCCCTTGGTTATAGATCAATGTTCCTCATCAGCTCTGCATGAAGGCTTTAAAAGAAACAGCACATTTAGACATTCGAAAGCAACTGGCCGGGACAGTTACCTTTCTTTTCCATCCGTTTCATATCCATCAGCTTCTCCACGTTGTTGGGGTCATTCAGCCATAGCTGCATTCGGACAAAGGGCTCCCGTCCCTTCAGACTGAGCTTGTGCCAGGGCTTTGGGCGAGCGAGGAGGTCGGAGACAGAGCCTTGGGTGAGCCCTAAGATGGTCTCCCCAAATAAGCGCTGACCTAGAGAGAAAACAGAACCAAGAGAGATGTCATCACTGAGACCTTGGGGTCTGGAAGGATAAGTATGTGTCAAGGTTATAATCAGACATGGGGTCTAAAGGCCCAGAGTCTGGTCAGCTGGGTCCTGGCTCGGAGCAAGCACTCTATAAAGCATTTCTTCAACCAGACTTGTGACAAACTCCACTGGAGACAGAGTCAGCTTTACTCCTGCATTCTGCTTCTACACAACAATGTTTCTGTCAAGCCTTCAGGCTTTGGATGAACTGAGGCCTGGATAATAACACCTGCCGCATTTATCAGAGGTGGTTAGTCCCAAACCCGAGCTCAGGAGGTTAAGTAGCACACAGGGAGATCTCTCTTGTACAACCTCAAACTACAGGGCCGTCTGCACCAGCTCCTTTCACGATTTGCAAGGTTATCAGGTCTTGCTGAGAAAACAGGCCACTTGACCTAGGTCACAGCAGGAAAGAGAAGGGGAAAGAGCTCCTCAGCTCTGTTTTTCTGAAAAGCAGGCCATTTCCAATTTGAAAGTCCACTCCTGCAGTCTAAGCTGCCTCTGCCCACTGGAGCTCAAAGCGCCTTTTCTTGATGCCTCTTCCCAGGGCCGTGGTGGACAGCCTGCTCCCCAGGCTTCTCAGAGGGCACATGGCTCTGGAGAGCGCTCTGAGAGCCATTAAGCTTCAGGTTAAGAGGGGCCACCACTTTTAAAGGTACAAATGAGAATCAGGCACAACCTGAACAACCTGACATGACAACTTCAATGAGTAGGACTTATTAGGAAGAAATGGAGACTGGGCTCAGAGAGGCCAGTGTTTGGTATCATAAAGCTCACGGAACACAATACCTGGGGCAGAGGTGACCGTGGATGACTGGCTGCTGCTGCCGTGCCTACGTCCTCCATCTGTGACAGGGAAACACTATCACTGTGCTCACGGGGTAGTTGTGAGAAATGGCGGAGAGCTGCCTTAGATGCATTTACTGATTTTGTAAACTTGTGGCTTCTCTGCTTTTCAAATTCTTAGTTTAGCCTGCCAAGTTTTTAGCCATTTTTTGTTGTGGTTGTTTAAAGTAAGTTTTACCTAATTCTAATTTGGCGAATGGATCTTATTTCATTCTAAGACGCTTGCTATGTTCAGGAAAGTGACATACATAAACAGCTAGTTGCTATTTGCTTGATCCACCTAGTTGTATGGGAGGAAAATCAAGTGACTAGTCTCAGAAAATTATCTATATTACTTCTAGAAGTTTCATAGTAGTGACTCCAATCATTTTGGGTCCCAGATCTATTTGAGAACCTGAAGAAAGCTACAGACCTTCATCTGATGAAATGTGCACGTACACATTCTATATATGATTTCAAGAGATTGATGCACAAATACCCCAAGATCCCAGGCCAAAGGTTAAGAGACTGCCTTAGTTGAGTCTCAATTAAGGGCCACCTGTGCTGTCTAATTCAGCTGTAATTTGGTTCCCTCTATGTTCATTAATCCACTGAGAGATGCCCATAGGGGAGGCAGCACCTTTCCTGGAGAAGCTGAGACCTTTGAGAGCAACCATGAAGACTTCTTCTCTTCTCTAAGTCCAGGGTGACACTGCTATGGAGCCTTCTGGCAGTTCCTGCTCAGAGGCATAAGTTATCTGTCTGGAGTGAAAAGTTTCACTGCTCAGAGCACTGATTCGTGTTTCATAGTATTTAAAACAAAGTTCCAGAAACCAGTGGGATTCTGCTCTGTCTGCACATGAACATCATCAGCTACAACTCCATCGCCGATGGGGACATGAATGGTTAAGGCCTAGGATGAGATTTTAAGGCTCAAAATCTCATAGCTGTGATCTTGCAACTTATCAGTATTAGAAAATGAGAGTTCTCCAGCTGATTTTCAACATTTATATAAAATGATACTTCCTATAAGGGGGGGGGGCAGCAATAATATATTAGGTCCACTTCCTTGGATTTGTCATAAGACTGTAAGGTAGGGGATGACACAAGCCTAGGGATCCCTGCACATCTTACTAATTGATGGACATAGGGGAATTAGCCATTTTTAAGTCAACAGCTAAATTTTTATTTTTATGAATTAATTAAAAATGTTCTCAGCGGATATTACTTTTCTCTTGTTCTGTTTTGCACAAGCAGTTAAGTAGAAGGCTTCAAGCAGACAAGTTGGCCTCATCCCCAGGCTGTGAGGTCACTATGAAAACTTTCCTGGAACTCACTTCACTGCTACTCCCTTCTTTTCCTGTCCCCTGGGAAAAACAGATACACAGGTCCCTCCTGAAGGTACTGGGCAAATTCCAATAACTCTTTGGTGTCATTTTAACATGCACAGAAGAGAACAATGCTCTCTCTCTTTTTTTTAAACCTCACAATTTAATTACAACCAAATCTTGGTTAAAAACATTTAAAAATTAAAGGGTATTAATTTTCATATATGATATAGGAACCGGAAATTTTGTCTGAAAACAATGCTCTTTTAATTGACTTTACTCCCGGGTAATAAGAAGGCTGTAAGTGTTTGGGAGTGGCTGTTTCCATTCTCTGGATGCCTAAACTAGAACCCCACTTGGTCCAATACTATCCTGCAGGAGCACAGTGGTTTGAAACGACTGAACACCCTAATATTCTTATAGCTGCAGCCATTTGATCAGTGGTGCCATAGAGCCCTCAGAGAGAGCCCCCTCAAGCAGAGCACAAGAGGGGTGGGGAGAGGGGCCTGTGGCACTTTTGAGGTAAACAGCCTTGGTGTGAAGCTCAGTGGGAGGCCTGGGGGATGGAGGCGGCTTCATGAGGCAGCAAGAATGCCAAGCAGAGTGCTAGCTAGGCTGCTACTCACAGCCCCATGGTAGGCATTGTTATTCCAGTTTTATTGAGGAGCCTCAGAGAGTAGCTTGCTCAGTAGCACAGACAATAAGTAGGAGAGTTGGGATTTGAATCCAGTCTGTCAGACTCTTCCACTGTGCCACCGGGATGCAGCTGGGCTGATGCTGATCCTGCCTAGCTCTGGTGCCCACAGGATTTAGAGCCCTACTGGGCATGCTACAATCAGGGTGGTTGGAGTGGACGGTCTGAGTAGGCTGCAACCCTGAATGCATATCTTTTAAGAGGTCCCAGAGTGGGTGTAGCTGGGATAGACCTGGAGACCTCTAGCACCCTTATGAGCCCCTTAGTGTTCGCAACTGTGGGACGTTTTGTAAACATTTAAAACCTCTGGCTGGCTCAGCCTGAGGCCCCTCCACCCATTCTTCCTAAGAACTCCATCAGGAAGCGACCTGCCACCTCTGGGATAGCAGCTCTGGAGGGAACTTACCAAGGTTGTTGTCAGTCAGCACCTCCTTGACTCTCTTGGTTATACCGTAGGTGTCCAGCTCTGGAGACATGGCTACCAACTCTTGAATGCTGAGGGCTGAGTGTCCGGAGAGAGGCAGTGGGGTGGTGGGCTGGGAGTCTGAAGCAGGCGGGTCGCTGGGTTCTGGTGGTTTTCCATCCTTACTTGTTTCAATGGGGGGACAGGGCTGCTGGACCAGTTCAGTCAAACTCTTCACTGATTCACTAGAGCTCATTGGTGATTCAGGTGCAGGGCTGCAGCTGGCAGAGGTCTTTGGCGTGCTTTCTGTAATTAAAGCACACAGAAAATTGAGGCTGAAACAGCCATCTTTCACCATGTACATCTACTTTCCTTACCCAGGACAGTAAGTCAATGCCCTGTATAAGAAGGATACAGCATGGCAGTCTATAAATCTACATTCATTGTCTTACAGTTTTTTGACTGAGAGTAACCACTCATTTTTGGTATTAAAAGAATAAAAAATAGCCCGGCCAGTGTGGCTCAGTTGGTTGAGCTTCATCGCATGCACCAAGAGGTTGCTGGTTCAATTCCTGGTCAGGGCACATGCCCGGGTTGCAGGCGCAATTCCCAGTAGGGGTTGTGCAGGAAGAGGCTGATTGATGTTTCTCTCTCATGGATATTTCTTTCTCTCTCCCTCTTCTTTCCTATCTCTCTAAAGTCAATAAACACATATTTAAAAAGAATAATAGCAATAGAAGAAAAACTATAGGTTTAAATAAAAGGTTTCTAAAGACTCAGTACAAGGGCCATTCTGTTAAAAAAAATGTCATATTGTCCCGCTGGCATGGCTCAGTGATTGAGAGTCGACCTATGAACCAGAGGCTATGGTTTGATTCCGGTCAGGGCACTTGCCTGGGTTGTGGGCTTGATACCCAGTGAGGGGTGTGCAGGAAGCAGCCAATCAATGATTCTCTCTCATCATTGATGTTTCTATCTCTCTCTCCCTTCCTTTCTGAAATAAATAAAAACATATTTTAAAATGTCATATTAATCATGTGCCATCATTGTCATGATGTCTCCTAATGGTTCCCTATCTATATATATAAAAGCCTAAGCCCGTGGTCGGCAAACTGCGGCTCGTGAGCCACATGTGGCTCTTTGGCCCCTTAAGTGTGGCTCTTCCTAAGCCTTAGGAGTACCCTAATTAAGTTAATAACAGTGTACCTACCTATATAGTTTAAGTTTAAAAAATTTGGCTCTCAAAAGAAATTTCAATCGTTGTACTGTTGATATTTGGCTCTGTTGACTAATGAGTTTGCCGACCACTGGCCTAAGCGACCGTTAGGACCCAATGACCAGAACAACCAGTTGCTATGATGCGCACTGACCACCAGGGGGCAGATGCTCAATGCAGGACCTGCCCCCTAGTGGTCAGTGTGCTCCCACAGTGGGAGCGCCGCTCAGCCAGAAGCTGGGCTCACAGCTGGCAGGCACAGCTGCTGTAGCAGGAGCCTCAGCGGGGCTGGGATGAGAGGCAGCGGAGCTGCACCTGGCCCGGGCTTGGGCTCCTACCAAGCTGCCTGCCGCTTCGGCAGTCTGATATCCCCTAGAGGGGTCCGGGATTGCGAGAGGGCACAGGCCAGGCTGAGGGACCCCACCTGTGCATGAATCCGTGCACCGGGCCTCTAGTCCTATATAATAAAAGCCTAATATGCTAAGTGTCTGACCGTTCGACCAGTCGCTATGACACACACTGACCACCAGGGGCAGACGCTTGACCAGTAGGTTAGCTTGCTACTGGGGTCCAGCTGATCGGGACTGGGTGAGATGGGCCGGACATGCCCTGGAGGCCTTCTGTGGTCTCTCCCTGGCCCCAATCGTGCACCAGTGGGGTCCCTCAGCCTGGTCTGCACCATCTCTCAATCTGGGACCCTTTGAAGGATGTTGGAGAACCAGTTTCAAGCCCGATCCCCACAGGCCAGGCCCAGGGACCCCACTAGTGCACGAATTCGTGCACCGGGCCTCTAGTAATTCTATAATTCAGAAGTACCTTACCTAGATTATGATTCACATACTAATTTTGTCCATAACTTCCAGAACAAATCAAATGGACATATTATTTTAAATGAGGGCTGCCCATGATGTGTGGCTACCACAGTGATGACCCTTGATAAGGAGACTAAAGCCCCAGCTGGCACCTGGCAGCCCAGGCCTGAGTCTCAGGACCCCAGGCTGGTTCTCACTATAATCCCAGAAGACTGGAGAGAAATGACAGAAGAGGAGCCGCCCCCCCCCCCCCCCCCGTTTTCTGTCAAACCATAGGAGGTGTTTCTGGAAACCAAGCTTTGTCTGTGCCACACTGCCACGAACACCAGGCGAGATGGGGTCATGCGTTCCTTTCTTCAGGAGGACCTCTGTCTTGTTTTTGTGTGTGCCCAATGGGGAGTGCCACCTCGTGCTCTGTGGAGATTGGTCCCTTCTGGCCTCTCTGTTAGGATCACCCATTAAACCAGGCATCTACTCTAGTTTTGGGATGTTTGGAATAAAGGCTTTGGCCATTTCCTAATTTTCAAATATAGAGAAAGACTGTGTCTAGGTGGAAAATACAAAATGACATTCCACTGCTGTCTTACCAACAAGGTAAAATCTGCCTTTGGCTCCGTGTTTTGGCACATTATCTTCCCCACCCCCACCGAGCATGGTACATGGTGAGACCTCACAGAGCCATGTGGGAGGGGCCAGGCCAGGCATTGTCATGTGGGTGCTATGGCCTCAGAGAGATGATAGCTCATGAGGCCAGGCCACTCAGTGAACGCCAGCACATATAGGTGCCCCCCAAATACTTGCTACCTCACTAAACACAATGTAACTCTAAGCAATAAATAAATTACAGTTGACCATATAACTGGAGTATCCTTTTTTTAAAAAAAAATATTTTATTGATTATTTTACAGAGAGGGAGAGGGATAGAGAGTTAGAAACATCGATGATGAGAGAGAAACATCGATCAGCTGCCTTCTGCACACTCCCTACTGGGGATGTGCCCGCAACCAAGTTACATGCCCTTGACCAGAATCGAACCTGGAACCCTTCAGTCTGCGATGCTCTATCCACTGAGCCAAACCGGTTAGGGCAGGAGTATCCTTTGACAGACATATTTTATACAAGATAATAACCTATTCTGAACCCAAGAAAATAAAAAATGTATTCTAAATACAAGGGATATTTTGTATAAATACTTAGAAAGATAAAATCCCAAATAAAACAACTGCAATTCAACCAACAAACCCGTTTATTGTCCTAGACTGGTACAGAATTCCACCAGCGCATAAACCTATGTCCTCAACCTGGAAAATCAGGTTAAAAAACAACAACACTGATTTGTGAAAGATGTAAAAGAGGCAGACGTAACGGCAGAAATGGTCCATATAAATCTTTAAGGCAATATGAATCCTACAAATCGGATTTCTTCTCTCTGCTCACCTCCAGGTCATCAGACAACTGGATATAAAACCCAGCAAATGTTATTTTTGTATCTGAAGCAGCAAAGGAATTGTACTGTAAATTTGCCCTGATTCACCCATGCGAGGGACCAATTTGGCAGATCATCCATCTTGCTCACTGTATACTGTCAAGGATGGCATGAATTCCCCACATGATAAACAGATTTCTTCTCGGGTTTGTGTCCTTTAACCCACAGCAAGGTCAAAATCATGGCTGCCTGGCTAACAAACAGCATGTGCCACTGCCCTAGTGCTCTCCCCATTTTGTTCTGGGTGCTGGCTGAGGGAGAGCTCCCCGAATAACTCAAGCGGCGGTGCATTCCCTTCTCCCAGGCATTCCCTGCAAGCTGTTGACATGCATTTTTTTTTGCCATAAAGAACCCTTACGAGAACAGAGGCACTCACCACATGTGACCGGCGTCCCTCTGTGCTCTAGCTCGTGGTTATACTCAAAGGCAAACCCCCAGATCAAAACCTCACGTGGGCCTTGAAATGTACTGGCCATCTTGTGTCTGCACCTCCACTCTGAGTCTGTGTCTAAAATGTAACAGACAACTTGAAGCTGAGTGAGCTTTCTGGCCAACTACTCACCGGCAGATACACGTGCCCACAGACGCCGGTGCAGGTCACAGAAAGCAGAATCTGGGCCACATTTTTGGAAAGGCACAGACAGATTTAAACAGCAAACATCCATTGCAGATACCAAGGAATCCACACGCCCAGAGCATCACGTTGGAAAGGAAGAGTCATTCTTTAGAAAGCTATTTCCAGTAAGCACACGACTCCTGAGGCAGGACTGGCACCACAAAACCAAACCCATTAATGAGCTCCCACAGCCCCTGGCAAGGTGGCCAGGACCCTGGGTTGGGGAGGACAGGTGCTTGCTTGTCTGACTCACCATCATCACAGGACAAGAAACCTAACTCAACAGAAAAGAAGAAATTTTACTTTTTTCTTTTCCAAAAATTAGCAAATGGACCCCTCTGATTAAAACATTTTTTAAAGAACAAGGCTTTGCTCCACAACATGTGCTTAAAAATAATTAAGAAGAATGAGGAATCCTGGGCTTGGCATAACACACTGAACTTGGGGATGAAAGCTACCTCTATAAGCCAGCTACGTTAACTTGAATAGGATTCTTCACTTCTTGGAACATCCTGGTTTCCTTGACTGAAAACTGCAGACAGCATTGTACTGAGGAACTAACCTGCCACATAGTTGTTGCTAAGAAACACAACCTAAATTGGATGTTAAGAAAAAGAGCAGCTATTAAATGTATTTGTGTAGATAAAGGTCCCTCACATTCAACAAAAATCATCTCATGATTTATTTTTATTTGTTCCACAGTGCCTGGAACAAGACTGAGATGCTGGTGGTAGACGCAAAGGCTACATCGTATATGATACCATTTAGATGACATTCTGGAAAAGGTAAAACTATAGGGACAGAAAACAGATCAGTGGTTGCTAGGGGTGAGGGGCAGGAGTTGACTACAAAGGGGCATGAGGGAATTCTGGGGGGAAGATGGAATTATTCTATATCTTGGTTGCCAAAATTCTTGTAATTTATACTTCAATATAAAGTTAGGAAAAAAGTGCTGGTGGAAAGAATAAATGAAGATGTGACATTCCATCCATTCTTTCACTCATTCCTTAAGTCTGTTGAGCTGGGCCTTTGGGAATACGGCAGTGAATGGGCAAAGGTGACCCTGCCTTGTTGGAGCTCACACCCATAGGGAAGATGGTCATTAAATAGAAGTAACTACAGGGCATGAATGTCTTGATGGGAGACAGATGGGGGAGCATACAGCTGTGGCCTAGG